CGACGTCGTAGTTCGTAAAATCTCTATTGACTTATTTAATCCTTCGGATTAATTCGCCGCCTTTGTTCGGTTACACGATTGGGTGTGACCCGAAGGGTTCATTTAAGAGAAAGTTGTAATATTAATTATACATTAATATTACTGATCGGAAGCGGCCTCCAGCTAGGCATTCCGATCACTTGACCTCACTGAATAATTAGCTTTCCTATTTAATTTTGAACCCTCTATCGGAATAATACACTTGTTCGAAGGACACCATTTTTTCAATATCTAGTAATAATGTACTCCGTAGTAAACATGTTTGCATAATTTTATGCTCGTTTTGAATCTCTATAAGAACAACTTTACTCCCACTTGGCTTTTAGAAATAAATTCCTTTTCTAGAAAGAAACCATCGCGAGCAATAAACACTTCATTTTGTTCGCGAACCCTCTTATTTCCTTGGGACACAAAGAAACATTTGTCTGATTTGGGACTTAGTATTGCCACCTTGTAAACACTTTACATAGGATTCACAACCCAAATCTTTCAAAAAGATAACTTTGGAACTTTTCCAATCCATAACTCATATGGAGTCTTTTCTACAGCTTTGGACGGGTTTCTGTTTAGTACTTTTGCAGCTGTTTCTAAAGCACGTCCCTCGAACGATATATGAAGATATGTAAAGCTCATCATGGATAGAACCATATCTAACAATGTTTCTAGGAGGAGTTAATTGTGAAAGAATTTCATAATCCCTTAGATCGATGATCATCAAATTTTTGGATCAAATACATTCCACCCCGATCAAATCGTAGTGCGTTAATTGTTTTGCTAAGTTGATTCTGAACTTTATTCTTGATTTCTTTGAACTTTTCAAAGATTTCGACATTTGCTTCATCAAGTAGACATAACCAATCTACTCAAATCATTAGTAAAAGTGATGAAGTAACTAAACCCACCTCTAGCTTTTGAACTCATTGGCCCACAAACATCTGTATGTATGAGTGCCAAAAGCTTATTATCTCTTTCTCCTTTTCCTGTAAAAGATGACTTGGTCCAATAAACATGACTCGTAATTCTCAAATGATTCATAATCAAATATGTAGGGTTTTGCGGTGTCCGACACCGCGCGGAAAAAAAACCGATAACCGGATCGCATGCATAATAATTACAACATAAACAAAAGCATGCAAATAAACAAAACACAAGAGAAGAGAGAGAAGAGAGAGAAAGAATACTCACCCTAGAAGCGTGCTTCGCTCAACCGATGAGCTCGGACTTGAAAGCTTCAAGTTCCGCAAGTGCGAAAACATCCGACGGCTCATACCCTCGCTATCGAACCATAACCGGCCCCTACCCCATAGCTTAGACGGGGCTAGACCAAAAATAACTTAGAGTTCACGAACTAAGGCTTTCTCGCTTTTGGTGATCCCTTAGAGTTCCCCAACTCAAGTGAAATTCCCAATACAAAGTGATTGGTATTTATAGGGAAATGTTCACTAGAATTCTTATCATCTTTCAATATGGGATAGTTGGTAAAATGTCAAATGAAAAATTTAATTTAAAATTAAAAAGGCAAGGCAATCATCAAACGATAAGTGGCATAAGGTGAGCAAGGGGTTAGCTGAGGACCACAAGGGAGGACCACATGCCCCCTTGTTCCCCAAGAAAAAGCTCTCCCCACTAAGCACGAGCCACTTGGTTGCCCTTTGCCTTGAGCAATAAGGGTGCCTTGTAGGTTGCCCTTGTGCTCTCAAGCATAGCAGTCCTGCTTGCTTGCTGCTAGGCGCTGCTTGCTTGTGGGCTAGCCTTACGGCTAGCAGCTAGTGAGGCCTAGCTAGATAGCGCTGCTAGTACGTATGCTAGCTTGGCCAGCACGCACAGCCCCGCATGCCTCGGCCAGATTTGTAACACCCTAGAAATTCCTTTCCGTTAAACTACCTATTTTGCCCTTTTAAAAATACGAGGTAGGAAAATCTAAAACATTACCGCCATCGTGAAAACGACTAAGGCAAATATCAAAGACTCACACACAGCGGAAGACTACTTTTAAACCATTTAAAACAAGTCAACTTAAAAAGTCAAACCAAATGAAAGTAAAGTCAAACTAAATCAAACAAAGTCAACCTACAACTTGGAACCATTATAGGCCCTTTAAACCGAACAATACTGAAAACATTTGTGTTGGTCTCATGAGCATAATAAAACAAATAATATTCAAAGCAAATAATACATATCATATTCCTATGAGAACTAAACATGATTCGCTCTTCACTCATGCCCTTCATGGAAATGTTTCATCACCTAAAATGCTTCTCTCTACTTGTCCCCACTACTCGCCATTAGAAATGGGTCGACGTAGGGCCAAGGTAAAGACAAGGCCAAACAAACATACAAACACACAATCAACAATGCTGAGTACATAAACGTAATAAAACACACTAACATGCTTTCATCTTATCATCACACAACTTACCGTGTTGCACCTTTTTACAAACATACAAAACATTCAACACCTAACTAGACCAATACCAATGTTCATTTAATTTTGATTACACATCGAACGGGTTTCCAACCAAATCCCTACCTCAAATAAATTGAGGTAAACTACACCGGGAGCTAACCGGGTAGGCAAATGTCACATGAAGTGACTGGACGACCTATGCATAAGATAAATAAAAAGGAAAATACAGCGACCTGTACTCCCAGTAGAAGTTATGGTCAAATATAAAGTCGCATAACTCCCCCCATATGTTCATACCCAAGGTATATACGTTCCAAGAGTTTTGGTGTGTAATCTCTTTCACTTTACGTTGTTTACATATTATTAAACTTGGTGATGACTCTCAAACCATAGCACAATCAAACATAATAAATCATTCAAGCAATCAAACAAACCAATTTAATTCTTGAATAATTAGTGACCACATAAATTTAATAGTTGAACCCTTTTTAATCTAGCTCAGTGTCAAAGACACCTTAAACGTATAAAGCGCCGCAAATCCTATCCCTCGGTGTTAGAAACACCTTAAGTGCATATAAGCATTGCAATATAATTTATTCCTGTGTACTAAGACACTTAAACAGCTCAATTCCCATGCTTATAGCATCAATAAAAATTATATGAACCATAATAAAATTTCCTTTTCATATTCCAAACCAAATTAAACATTCAGTTTAATTAAACATGCTCTCTAACATGCCAATAATAAAAGCGGTGTTCATAACCAACATGCCAACATAACTAATTTCAATCCCCAATTCACCATAAATAATTCATACATCACAAATCATTCACCAACATCGATCCAATCAACAAATTTTAACCATCACCTATCATGATACTACTTGGAATTAATTAAACAAAGCCTAACATGCTTTTACATATTCAAATAATTACCAAGTATACAAACGTACCTTGAATATGACCTCAAAATCGCCACGACTAAATAAAATCACTCACTTGAAAGTCTCCTACAAACCACAATTACGAAGAAGTATTAATATCTCTTCCAAACAAATTTCCAACAATATATACATTCTTTAAATCACTGATAAACCCTCTAAAATAAGCTGAAATTTTATTAAACCCCTTACTTTTATTCCAAATTAATGGTTAATTAAAAATCCTTTCAAGAAACATAATTATAGCTTATATATAAAAAATTCAAGCATTATTAAAACTTATAAAATTGCTATAATTTATTTTAAAAACATTAATTTCAATAGTTTTAATCAACCACATTCAAATTCCATCAATAAACATTAATTTAGAAACCTAGGGTTTTCAATTTGGGGCTTTTTAATTCAAAATTAAATCTGAAAATTAACATGCAAAATACTTATCATTACATCATAATTAGAATAAGGCTAGATTGAATTAAAATCAAAAACAATAATAATTTTTTTTTTGAACACCACCGGCGTACACAAACACCATGGCTCGCTGCTACTGTCGGCGAGGGCTGCAGGTGGTGGCAGCCGACCGGTGGTGGCGTGTGGTGGTGGTCGGCCGATGTGTGGTGGTGTGTGTTGCTTGTGATTAAAACAGTAATAGAATAAAATAAAATAAAATAAAGAGGAAGGGGAAAAATTAAGGGGAAAAGAAAATAAGAGAGAGAGAGTTTACCTTTAGGTGCACTCTACCTTAGGCATATGATGGGTATTTATACCCCCTCTCAAAATCCCTCCTCTTAAAATTCCTTTACTACCCTTAATGATCCCTTTCCTAGCCAAATTAGTAATTTTACTTTCCTTACATACCATTGACTTTAAAATTTATCTTTTTTATAAAATAATATGCCTCAATATTTTCAAATCATAAAATAAAATATTTTCAAGATTATTAAATAATTAAGAATAAATTTTTTAATTAAAATAATTCTTTTTAAATTAATAAAAATCATAAATAATTCATTTCGAATAATTTAAATAATTTAAGAAATATTTATTTAAATTAAAATACGTATAAAAAATACGGGGTATTATAATCTACCCCCCTTAAAATAATTTTCGTCCCTAAACTTGGGTAATGAAATTCAAACTTTTTCCTCACTTTGTATAATATTGTTGTACTCTTTTGTCATACTTTTGCCTTTAACATCTTTTTGAGATCAAACTTACTCAAAATAACCGTTAAAAATGTGCAAAAAGCATAAAAATAATTGAAAAATATAGGGAAAAAGAGTGAAATTCTACCGCATTCTAATAGGCGAAAAACGTAAATGAGCACCGGTTCCAAACCCCCCTTTAGCACGGTTTTGAACCGGTTTAGATTTGAGGGATGCAAAAAAAAAAATAAACTTTAGCACCGGTTCAAAATCGGTGGCAATTCTTTGTTTTAGCACTGGTTAATCAGTGCTAAAAAACACTGCCACGTTTTTTTTTTTTTTGGTATTTAACAACAATTGGCACCGGTTCGGGTTCAAAATCGGTGCCAATTGTGCCCCAAAAAAACTAAAACAAAAAACAATTAGCACCGGTTCAGTTCCAAAACCGGTGCCATTAATGGACCAAAAAATATAATTTTTTTTTTTTTATTTTTTTTGCATTTTTCACTTAAAATGTACTAGATACTTATATATATTCATAATATACATAAAATCACATATTTTTTCTTCAATAATTTGTAATATTACAATTTAAAAAACTGAAAAAACTACAGAATCATGATACTGCAGCATAAATACTGCAACATAAATTTTCCTAGTCTGCATCAGACCATATTCTGGCAAATTATGTGCTGATAGAAGTTATATGGAAAAGATGGAGAGAGCTCAAGAGATAGCAAGACTCAAGTCTTTAGGGTCATTTCGCATAAAAAAACTTGATGAGAAGCCTCTTATCGATAGCTAACCCCTTCACTTGTCTTTACCTCACCAATGCGATACATTGGAGTTGCTCCATTGGCATCGCCAAGTATTTTGAGGGCTGCATCTTGACTTACCACAAGCACCATTCCAATACCCATATTGAAGTTCCGCATCACCTCACTGTCATCTATCCTCCCCACCTACCGGCACATGAGTACGTTAAATTAGAGAATGCATAATATGGATACTAGGAAAAACAAGAGTTGTGCTCAGTAAGTACCCTCTCAGCAAGGTCAACATCAAGACGACTTGTGAAGATGTCTAATCTTGGAAAAACAAGAGTTTTGCTCTAGAAGTAACAATGTCATTAACACTGAAGGTCAGCACAAATTTTGCCTTGAAGTTTCAATATGGATACTCATTTTAGAAATGAAATTTAAGTAATATATTAGAGTATTTTTTTTTGGGAAATATCAAAGCATATTCTTCAATTAATTTCTATATCCGGAATCGAAAATTGAAATTTTAGGTCTTCAATAAATTTCCTTCGTATTTGTTGCTTTAACCATATAATTTATATAAACAATACGGAGTACAACACAAACCTAATTGAAATGCTTGCAGCAAAATAAGACAGGGATCAGACATTACCTTACAACTTAGCTTTTTAAGTCACAAACTCTCCTAATGTTCTCCAACACCTGCTATACAGCAAGTCAGCAATTAACCCATGTAGTTGTGAAATATTTATTAACATCAAACAACTGATAAAATGAAGGAAAAAAAAAAAAAAAAAAACAGCCCAATCAATCAATAAATTAGAAACATACAATTATACAAACTCCAGCAATTATACAAATTAAGTGAAGAGGCTCGGTTCAGTAAATTAGAAACATACAATATTCAAAACTCCAGCAAGCAATAACACAACCCAAAATAATCCAGAAAACTAGTCCAAATGCAACATGGGTAGTCATCAATGTCAGAAAATATATGTTAATCAATCATTCAAAATCAATAGTGACAATTTAGGTGGAGGTCTAATATTAATGATTCATGTTTATCTGCACAATCAATCAGCAAAGAAGTCTTACAAGCAATCACAAGATCAAACTTTTCAAATTCAATGGTAATAATTGAACTCATTTAGTCACTTACCAATCACAAGAATGAGCATGACAGCAGAGCAGCGATAAGCTCTTACATAAAAACACAAATAGTATTGTTAGGAAATGCATTTCATATATTGTTCCGCATAAGGTTGAACAATTAAAACTATAATAAGATAAGAGATCTAGTAGAAATAAAATTAAGATATCAATCACGCTAATTATTCATCAATTAGGGGGCAACATATCCACAATCTTGTCTGTAGGCATAATTCTAAGCACTAATAATGGATGGAAATTTTTTAGTATGAAATAATATAATTTGGGCAAAAAACCATAAACTTATACACCAATTTATCATAATTTAGAAATTAAAAGGGGAATTTATAAATGACAGACAAATTGAAGTAATACCTGAGAGAGTGAGAGCTGAGAAGAGACAAGTACTTTCTCTTTCTTGTTCATCTACCAAGAAGTCGCTGCACCACAACCACCAGTGCTGCACTCCGGGTGCACGCTGAAAGTGCACTGCTCACGAAGATCAAACACTTGGGACTTCGAAGACCAATTCCAAAACTTAGAAGTCAAACCTGTCCAAGAGTAAAATCAAAGCACATCAAGACTAATAGAACTTGACTAAATGTTAATGTTTGTATGCAATATCAATAGTATCAATTTTGACTATTATTGATGTTAATTAAAAGTGAAATATTGATGTTAATTCAAATAAAATACCAATGTTATTATGATTCGATGCTGATTGCTCTTTCACAATTCTTCTTACAACCTGTACTACATAAGAAGAATCTCCTAGTTGTCTGTTCTTGCTTCCCTTCATTACTTCCTTTGCATTCTAGTTAATACAATTGATGCTCATTGCTCTTTCATAAGCTTCTTAAAAGGCTTTCAACTAGAAAAATCCAAAGTCCAATCCTTCCTCATACTTCTTACTTTGTCCTCTTCAGTGGGGATACTATGTGCGAGGCAAATCTAGAGAGCTCAGTAAACTTTTCACCATCTTAGAGATATGACAGCTTAGTCTGGTGCGGTATTGCTAATTTGCTATTATCAGTATAATAGTATACCACCAAGCAGCAGAAATTTAGTTATCTTCTGATGCAATAGGTAATTTGATTTTTAGTCTACTGCTACTTTAAAAAATCCAAGCAAGAAACAACTCAGACTTAAACCAATATAAATAAAATAAATTAATATCCCTAAACCTGATACAAATCGTTACATATTACGCCATTACAAATCAAAAAATCAACATTCAAACACTAACTCATTTGCGAATAAACCTATACCAACATAACCCAAATCTCATAACTTAAAATTTCTCCAAAATTTAATCAACAACAACAGAAATTGAAATTGAGCAGAAGTAGAACAACATAAATTTGTCCAAACACTTAATTATTCGCAAAATGGAACAAGTAATTTAAAAATGAATGTGAAATTATCAACAACAGAAATGTAACGGAGAGAGAAATAACCTGAAGAAAAACAGAGGGAAGGAGCGCAAGGAGGACTATGCGAGAGAGTGCCGCTGGTGAAGGAGTGAGAGAAGCGCCGCTGCCGGTGGAGGAGTGATCTGAGAGACTGAGAAATCCTATCATCTCACACTCTAACCATTAAATTCAATCAAAATTTCAATTGTTCATCATTAATAAAAAAAAAAAAAAAAATCATAAAACCTAGATTTCAAATCCAAGAAACCCTAACCTCGAATTTGTGATTTTTGAATCGATAGTTGATTCAAGTTAGTTGTTGTTTTTGTATTTGGTTCATATTGACGGCGGCGGTGATGGTGGTTGTGCTTGGTTCTAGTGACGCCGATTTCGGACTGAGAAGGAGAAGGAGAGCGGCGTTGCTTGCGACGCAGTTATGGAGAAGGAGATCGAAGGAGAGAGAAAAGGAAAGGGAAAGTGGTGGTTATGGAAAAGGAGATCGAAGGAGAGAGAAGGAGTTTGAGGCTCCATTATTGTAGATGATAGAGAGGCAGATGAGAGAGGAGGAGAGATCGAGGAAAGACAAAGAAAGAAGACAGAAAGAGAAAGAAAGAAGATGATTAAAGGCCGATTTTTTTTTTTTTTTTTTTTACAATAGCATTCGCACCGGTTCGAACCGAACCGGTGCTAATAACATCATTTCGCATGGGTTTGGTTTGAATCGGTGCGAATTCCCCTGTCCCTCAACCCCGCTTTTTTTTTTCGTACCGGTTTTTAAACATCGGTGCGCATTTTGCGATGCTCATTTAAGTTTTTTTACTAGTGTTCTACCCCTCCTTAAAGAATACGAGTTTCGTCCTCGTAGCTCAACATACCTCAAACAACTCGAGATACTTCTTTTTCATTTCATCCTCGGCTTCCCAAGTTGCTTCTTCATACTCTTGGTTAGACCATAGCACTTTAACAATCTTAACTTCCTTATTGCGTATACTACGAACTTTACTGTCAAGGATGATCTTGACAGGTCTTTCCTCTTAAGTTAAGCTTTGATCTAACTCAATAGTTTCAGGTTGTAGCACATGTGATTTATCAGGGATATACCTTCTTAACCAAGATACATGAAGTACATCATGCACTTACTTAGCTCCATAGGTAAGGCCAACCTATAAGCTACTTTGCCTATCCTTTGCAGTACTTCATATGGACCAATATACTTTGGATTAAGCTTCCCTTTCTTTCCAAATCTCATTACACCTTTCATTGGTGACACCTTTAACAATACTTTATCGCTAACCTCAAATTCCTCCTCTCTACGCTTCAAATCCACGTAGCTCTTTTGGTGATCTTGCGCCGCTTGAATCTTAGCTTGAATCTCCCTCACCTTCTTAACAGTATCCTCAATAATTTGAGGCCCTAAAATCATTGTTTCACTTATGTCATTCCAACAGATTGGACTGCGACACTTCCTTCCATATAATGCCTCAAATGGAGCCATGCCAATGCTTGCATGGTAGCTATTATTATAGGAAAATTCAATTAAGTCCAAGCTATCTTCCCATCCCCCTTGGAAATCTATAACACAAGCCCTCAACATGTCTTCTAAGGTTTGAATGGTTCTCTTAGTTTGCCCATCTATTGTAGGGTGAAAAGCTGTACTCATATTAAGTGTTGTACCAAAGTTTTCTTACATACTCTTCTAGAACCTTGAAAGAAACCTAGAATCTCTATAAGACACAATATCTTTTGGAACTCCATGTAACCTTAACACATTTTTTATGTAAGTTTTTGGAAGTTGTTCCATCTTCCAGGTCTCCTTCGTTGGTACAAACACCGCAGACTTTGTAAGTCTATCCACCACTACCCAAATGGTGTTGTTTCCACTCTTTGACTTTGGGAGGCAAGTCACAAAATCCATTGAAATACAATCCCATTTCCATCCAGGAAATTCCAATGATTACACCGTTCCTTAAGGTCCTTTGTGTTCTATCTTCACTTTCTGACAAGTTAGACGCTTTTCCACAAATTTCGCAACTTCATTCGTTCTTCATTCTAGGCCACCAATACACCTTTTTCAAGTCTTTATATACCTTGTCCCCTCCTGGGTGTACTATGGTGTATTGTGACCCTTTTCCAACAACTTTCTCTTTACCTCCTCGCATTTTTGTGGTACAGACCAACAACCTTTTTACCTTAAACTCCCATCTTCATGAATCTTGAAATCCGTAGCTTTTCCTTGCTTTATTTTCTCACGAATCCTATCCAACTTTACATCTCCTGCTTGATTTTCCCTTATCTCATCAACTATTGTTGGTTGAATACTTAGATTCGCAAGTATGCCTACTGGCACTCCCCATTCTACCACTTCTAGATTCATTTTCCTCATCTCTCTACATAACTCATCAACCACTATCAAAGTATTCAGTCCATAACTAGTTTTACAACTTAGAGCATATGCGACTACATTTGCTTTCCCCTCGTGATATTGTATATCTAAGTCATAATCTGTCGTATATTCTAACCATCTCTTTTGGCGTGAGTTTAAATCTCTTTGAGTGAAAATGTATTTCAAACTCTTATGGCCTGTGTAAATCCTACATTTTACTCCATACAAGTAATTGCCTCCAAATCTTTAGCACAAAAATGATTGCAACTAATTCTAGGTCATGAGTAGGGTAATTTACTTCATGAGTCTTTAACTGTCTTGATGCATAAGCAATCACCTTCCCATTTTGCATAAGTACACATCCTAGACCATTCTTGGATGCGTCACTATATACATCATAAACTCCACTATCGTCTGGTAGTGTAAGCACTGACGCTGTGATTAGCTTTTGTTTCAAGAGTTAGAATGCCTCCTCACATTTGTCATCCCACTTGAACTTCTTGTCCTTTTTCATTAGAGAGCTCATAGGTTTAGAAATCTTCGAGAAATCTTTTACAAAACGTCTATAATATCCTGCTAAACCTAAGAAACTCCTAACATCAGAGACCGTTTTCGGCGTAGGCCAACCTTTCACTGCCTCGATCTTTGCGGGATCTACTTCTACCCCATCTTTGGACATAAAGTGGCCCAGAAATGCCACTTTCTCCAACCAAAACTCACACTTAGAGAATTTTGCGTAAAGCTTGTTTTCTTTAAGTATTGTTCTACATGTTCTTCTTTACTCTTCAAATACACCAGTATATCTTCTATGAAAACTACCACAAACTTGTCCATAAATGGATGAAACACCCTATTCATCAAGTCCATAAAGATTGCTGGAGCATTCGTTAATCCAAATGGCATTACTGTAAACTCATAATGTCCATATCTTGTTCTAAATACAGTCTTGGGAATATCTTTATCTGCAATCCTAAGTTGATGGTATCCAGACCTTGAATCAATTTTAGGAAACACAGTTGCGCCTCTCAACTAGTCAAATAGGTTAACAATCCTTGGTAATGGGTACTTATTCTTTATGGTGACCTTATTTAACTCCCTATAATCAATACACAATCTCATACTTCCATCCTTCATCTTCACAAACAACACTAGCGTTCCCCAAGGTGATGCACTTGGTCTTATATAACCTTTTTCTAATAAATCCTGCAATTTCTCCTTTAACTCACTCATCTCTGCAAGTGCCATTCAATATGGTGCCTTGGAAATTGGTGTTGTTTCTGGAACTAGCTCTATTGTGAAATCAATTGCCCTTTTAGGTGGCATTCTAGGAATTTCTTCTGGAAACACATCCGGAAACTCATTCACTACTTCTATATCCTCAGGCTTAGTTGTCTCCTCATGCTCCATATTCCTCACACTACAAAAATACACTGGATGCCCCTTCTTCATATACTTTGCCAACTTTAACACAAATATAATCCTTGGGCACTTAGTTTCACCATGCATCCAATATGTCACCGACTCATTATCAGTTGTAGTCATTTATACTTTCTGTGGTCTACAACTAATCTCTGCACTGTACCTGCTCAACCAATCCATTCCCAAAATGACATCGAAGTCACTCAATCCAAACTCAATGAGATCCGACAAAAACACATTTCCTTTGATTTCTAAAGGTACATCTCTAAAGGTCTTGTTACACTTCACTACCCCACCTGTAGGAATAAGTGAATAACTATAGGCAAATCTACCTCATTAACGGTTTTCAAACAAGTTGATAATTTTAAAACAATGGCCTTTGAAATGAAAGAAAAAGTTTCACCAAAATCAAACAAAACTTTAACAGGGATAGAGTTAATAGAAAAAGTACCAGTGATGACATTTTTCGTGGAATCAGCCTCATGCCTACTCATAACATTCAACTTTCCTGCAGCTCCACCTTTCTGTTGGTTGTTCCCATTATTATTGTTGGTTATCGCCGCATTCTGTTGTGCTCCCTTGTTCCCAGAATGGTTGTTACTTCCCTGAAAGTTCCTTTGAGCCCCACCTTGGTTATTTCCTTGCTTGTTTCTATTGGGGTCCTTGGAGAAACATTCATACTCCATGTGTCCTAACTTGTTGCAAGCACGACAAGTAACTAAATTCCCATCACAATCCTTTCCAGGGTGGTCTTTCTTACACCTCTTGCAATAGAAATGCCTTGCTCCCCTGTTATTTCCCTGGGTAGAGTTCCTAGCTCCACCATTAAAGTTTTGTCCACCTTGGCGATTGTTGCCTTGAAAATTATTGTTGTTGTGGAAGTTGTTGTTATTATGATGGTACTTTTTCTTCTTAAAATTGTTCTAGTTACCTTGCGGGTTTCCAGAATTATGTCCCACCTCTTTAATCTTTTCTTTCCCTTCTATCTCAGCTATCTCTTTCTTTTTCTTTAATTCTAAGGCATATAGGTGTGCAGCTCTCCCATACACTTCATCCAAGGTTTCAAATACTTGACCACATACCTTTAATTGCAAATCAGTAGTCAGACCACTCTCAAACTTTCTGACCTTAGACTTTTCTGTAGAGACAAACTCCTTAGCAAATTGTGACAGCTCAATAAACTTGGTGTAGTACTCAGTAACTGACATATTCCCCATAGCAAGATTAGAAAATTTCTCAGCTTTTTGTTTCTATAAGAAGCTACGGTAAAACTTGTCCCTAACATTCTCCTGAAACATAGTCCAACTAAATCCAGGTAATGCCTTAATGGTAGCCTCATTTTGCTGCCACCAAAGGTCAGCTTCGCCCCTAAGGTAATAGGTAGCACAACCTACTTTTGAGTTCTCTAGACACCCTACTGCCCCGAACAGTTTCTCAAACTCCCTCAACCAGTTTTCCAGTATAGTTGGATCAGGCTCTCCTTGATAGGTTGGTTGCTTACTTTGCGCCACTTTCTTAAACAGCTCTCCCTGAGCATCTCCATTATTGGTTGAGTTCCTTACCAACTATTGGGCAACAGTTGCCAACTGCCTCACAACTTCACTCAACTCTCCACCATCATTGTTGTTACCACTCCCTCCTGCCATTTTTCTTCGCCTGAATTAACACAAATGGGTCTTTATTAAATACGGTCTTGGCTAGCTCTCAAGTTAGACACTCATCTAATTAATTAACACCTTTGAAGCTTACACATTAAATTTTAAGCTAACAAATTGGGATTACAAAATTTGAAATACCTAAAATTTGCAGCTTTGTCAACCAAGTATTAATTGCTAACCAACCACACATTTGATAAAGCATCACATTAATAAATAAAAATTAATTCCCATGGATATCCAAAGTTTAGAATAAATTATTGGAATATTTTTTAGCAAGAAATGGCTTATTGGAGTAGTGATACGAAATGAATGATTTGAGAACGAATTTAATGATTTGTTAAAAATGAATTAATTGACAAAGAATTTAGTGGAATTTTATTGATAAGTAAGAAAATGAATGGAATACTGCAATAAAATGAGTTTAAATAACTTATGCAATTACATAAGTTTACTAACTCACCGTGGACATGCCACTTATTACTTTACTGGAACGGAAATGATTAAAATGCGGAAATGAATCTAAGAATCCTAATAGAAATGAAACTACAAAAATCTAGTCCTTTTGAACTTTATCCCTCCTGTAGGGAGATTGTTTGTAGCTTTCAGGATCGAATTCAAGGTCATCCTCTTCTTCCATTGGTTCGGGTGCCTCTGGTTCTTGCTCTACTTGGACAAACTCTTCATCTTCCTCATCATCAAATGAGATATCAATTATAATTGGATTTGGATTTGAAATTTCCATAATGGAACTATCAACAGTCTGGTTACTCTCATCCATCATCTCTCCATCTTCTTGCCCTCCACTTGTCCTTGTTTGATTACCCTGAGTGGGAGAAGAACTTCCTGACTGATGACTAGTGGAAGGGGAATTATTCCCTGCCAGAATATTATAGTAGTAGTTGGGATATGGAATGTTTAAGTGCTGACAATAATCTTTCTCAACTTTAACAAGGTAAGGAATCAAGTATCTGTAATCAGGATACCACTGTCCATAGAAATTTTTATATTTAGAGTAGTTTGGAATGTCCCTTGGTAAATAGAAATCAAATAACTTTGATTTAACAACAAGATATGGGGGTTCATCTGGAAGACAATGAATAATAATAGCAGTAACATGATCAAGAAGATCATAGTGCTTGTCTCCAGGACATTACTCATGTGGGCACAATAGAATTAAATTTTGTTGACTTAGGCAAACGGATGTTCATAGTCTTTCTTGATTAGTGTACTAATTTGGGAAAGATTGCTAGGAAGAATTGGCATCCTATAAAGGAAAAGGTTGAGAAAAGAATTCCCTTCCCGAAGAAAATAAAAACAAAATACAGTTCTTGCATGAATTAGGTTTAATGTTCAATCAAACAATTTCACTTATTCTAATTGTTTAGGGTAAGAATTACCCTAGACATGTGGCCCAATGAGGGCCTGACACGTGTCACCTCTCTATAGCACCATGGGCATCCAACCAATGGATGCCACGTGGCATTGTACCCCCAATGGGGGAGCAGATCTTCATCTGCTATAAATAGAGGAATCATCTTCATTTATGGGTATACATATATTCACACACCAAACCTGAGCAATATTAATTGCGAAATCTCCCGTAATCCGAGAGAAATACCCGTTTACTTTCCACACGTAATCTCATCCGGAATCATACTAACTTGATCTTCGGAGGCGAAACTCCACCCAATCGGAGTTTCGTGGTTTTGCAGGTACAGAAGTCAGGCGTGCATTCTCGGTGCTGTAACTCTCCCGCAGGACACCTTCGAAAACCCTGAAACATTTGGCGCCATCTGTGGGGAGAGTATCACTAAGATGACATCTGACCATGTACCAACTGCAGAGGGCAGTCGGCCCACGGCTGACCCTGAGGTCCATACGAACCATGAAAGTGGAAGCGGTGACGACTACAATGTCGAAACCTACATGGCCCTAGACAGGTCATTCCGTTCTAGGCGCACCCGTTCCAAAGAAAAGAAGGAACGGGGCCAAGACAAAGCTTGTCCCAACAACCCAGGCGTCAAGCACCCTGGACAACCCCAGGCAGAGGGGGCTGCCCCCGTCACCAGAGACGAACTCATGAATCTCATGACTATTTCCAAAGGGGAAATTAAAGACATTATCAAGAAGTCAGCTGGCTCCAGCAAGGGTCACTCGACCAAGAAGGCTTCCAGGAAGAAGTCAATTAAAGACCAGGTGCCTACTTCTCACCCGAAGCCTAAGGGGGCGGATGGGCCCCTTATCGACCTTTCAAAAATTCGCTTCCCTGAATTAGGGCAGCAAAAGGCCATCCGGCAAATACAGTTGGATGGGTCAAAGAAGACTTTCTCTGACGCCCGGTTGTTAATCCAGGAGAAGAGAAGTCAGAGCATGTCTTAGTCGGCTTCTACGTCGACCTACCCAGACAATTTCCGCAATACTTCAATGAAGCTTTCGGAAACCAACCCAGGGAGCCAGTCACACGGCACGTCCGTACGTACTGCTCCTCATGTGATCCATTAGGCTCCATATATGCCCCAACAACCATATGGACCCGGATCACCCTATATGCAGCTGTCCCCCTTTGGAGGACTGGCGGCAAATACGGTCCAGCCTATGGACTGGCAGCTCCGGCTGCTAAACCTAGGGGAACAGCCTTCGGCTTTCTCCCGGGAAATTACCAAGGCGGCGCAGCCAACCAAGGTTAATAACGTGTTGGCAGGTACCTACGACGGTACCACCAACCTGAAAGATCACCTGATGGCATACACCAACCTCATGTACCTACAGGGGTTAGATGATGCCGCTTGGTGTCGATGCTTCCCAGCAACGCTGAAGGGCATAACCCAACGGTGGTTCGACAATCTGCCGGCTGGGTGCGTCAATGATTTCAAGACGCTTGCATATCTATTTGCGTCCAACTTCTCCATGAATATCCCGACCAAGAAGACTAGCCTCAACCTAGGGGCTATCCAGCAGGGAGACAAGGAAGGACTTCGGTCCTATGTCAGGTGGTTTAATCTGATGAGAATTCAGATACAAGAACTGTCTGACGAAGTTGCGTACACAAACTTCTTCAAGGGTCAGAAGGATGGGTCAACATTCAAGTTTGACCTGGTCCGCAAGAGGGTTGCTACCCTCCAAGAGGCACTAATGGAGGCCGAAGCTTACATACAGGTGACGGAACTCTGTGCCATCTGAATTTCTTGGCCCTGATTCAACTTATCCTGTCATTGTGAATTCTTCTTTAGATGCGGATCAAACTCGGAAGTTGTGTGATGTATTGAGAGAGCATCAAAGTGCTATAGGCTATACCATTGATAACCTCAAGGGTATTAGCCCCGCTATATGTATGCATCACATAACTCTCGAGGATGGTGCGAGGCCTTCTATTGAGAGGCAGAGGAAACTCAATCCTCAAATGGGGGAGGTGGTGAAGAAAGAGATCACCAAACTTCTTGATGCAGGTATCATCTTCCCCATTTCAAGCTCTAGATGGGTTTCCCCTGTGCATGTTGTCCCTAAGAAGGGGGGAATGACTGTAGTTGAGAATGAGAATGGTGAGCTCATCTCAACTAGAACGGTGACCGGCTGGCAGATGTGCATAGACTATAGACGTCTAAACGCATCTACCAAAAAGGACCATTTTTCCCTCCCTTTTATTGATCAAATGCTCGAAAGACTAACTAGGCACAAGTATTATTGCTTTCTTGACGGTTATTCGAGTTTTTTCCAAATACCTATAAACCCGGATGACCAAGAGAAGACGACTTTTACTTGTCCATATGGTACTTTTGCCTAAAGGAGAATGCCTTTTGGACTTTGCAATGCACCGGGCACCTTTCAACGGTGTATGATGAGCATTTTTGGGGACATGTTGGAGGCCGAGATGGAGGTTTTCATGGACGATTTTTCTGTTGGGGGAGCCTCCTTTGATGATTGCCTAGTGAACTTGGGGAAGTGCCTACAACGGTGTGAGAGAGTGAATTTAGTCCTGAACTGGGAGAAGTGTCACTTCATGGTTGAAGAAGGTATTGTCCTCGGTCACAAGATCTCAAATGCAGGCATAGAGGTGGACAAAGCAAAGGTTGAAGTTATAGCAAAGCTACCACCACCGGTCAATGCAAAAGGGGTAAGACAATTCCTAGGGCATGCGGGGTTCTACCGGCGATTCATAAAAGATTTCTCTCTTATAGCCAAGCCTTTGACTGCCTTATTGCAAAAGGAAGTCGACTTCAAGTTCGACAAAGAGTGCCTACAAGCTTTTAACACACTTAAGAAAGCTTTGATTTCGGCACCGATTGTGCAAGGACCACGGTGGGATCTACCTTTTGAGTTGATGTGCGATGCTAGTGATACGTCTATTGGAGGTGTTCTTGGGCAACGAGTTGAGAAGAGGGTTCACGTGATCTATTACATGTCCAAGACCTTAAATGAAGCACAAAGGAACTACACCACTACAGAGAAAGAGTTCCTAGCCATTGTTCATGCATTTGAGAAATTTTGGGACTACCTCATTGGTTCAAAAACGATTGTTTATACCGACCATGCTGCCATTAAGTACCTAATTTCGAAGAAGG